TCATTCCATACCTGGCTGTTGGAAGAACCGAGGTTTGAATCCAGGTAGTTTAACTCCTGAATTGGTACTCTTATGCAAAACACTATAATGCTTCCTGGATATGGATGCTGAGGAAGATTAGTATCTACTGACTGACATGACATTAGGGATAAAAGCTCTCCCAGTTTTTGGACTCAACATTATCTACTGAGACAGGATGTCATGGAGGAGGCTTGATGAGCAGAGTGGGAGACAGAAGCCTGAAGGACTGGGACCGTCCCAGTTGAGAAGTGGCCAGACTGTCCCACTCAGGGTTTTTTGTGACTGCCACATTTTATAACCCACCTGCTTTTCCCAGGAGCAATCAGGAACAAACTTCTGAAATGTCCCATCAGCCTGTGATGGTCAACAGGATGAATCTTCTGATTCACTGTCTTGTACTGTAGCTGAGATTGAAGGCCAACTGAGCCTTTCATTTCTTCCTAATTTACTCATTTTGGTATCAGAGAGCGAGAAAAACAAACATAACTATGATGGATCTTGAGCGAGGAAACAACTCAAACACTTCATCAGCCATTGAGTTTGGGATTATCGCTACTCTCATGACATTTACCAGAAGTTACCTTTCCTGAAGACCTCTGAACCAAATTTGGTGAACCTCTCTCCTAAGAAGTTGGAGGGACTAAGAATGATCATATATACTTATTATGTGACAAGGAATTTTTTAAAAAAAAAATTTATTATTTTAATTTTAATTTGTATGAGTGTATTGCCTGCATGTATGTGAGTCCACCCATGTTGTGCAAAGCTGTGGAGGTCAGAAGAGGGCTTCGGATTCCCCTGGAACTGGCGTTAAGGTGTTCATAGCCACCATGTGGGTGCTGGGAATTGAACCCAGGTCCTTTGCAAGAGCAGTCAGTGCTCAGCCACAGATTCTCCTGAACAGTTTGTGAACATTCAAATGATTGCTCCCCTGTGTGTGTAAAGTGCTTGTTTGTTTGTTTAATGTATATGAGTCCTGTGCCTACATGTAAGTGTACCTATGTGCAATGCCCATGGAGGTCAGAAGAGGGCGTCAGATTCCTGAACTGGCGTTACAGACAGTTGGTAGCCACCATGTGGGTTCTTGGAATCAAACCTGGGTCTTCTGCAAGAGCAGTCAGTGCTCTTAACCACTGAGCCATCTTCCAGCCCCTTCTGAGATTCACAGTAGCCCTGCGACAGAGCTGTGGAATAAACTTGGCTCCCCTTCATGTCCTGACTTTCAGTCTAACTGTATGTGGTGGCATCAGTCTCTCTGTCTCTCTGTCTCTCTGTCTCTCTCTCTCATCCATTTGAGGACCCAGCAGGAATTTTGCCATTTATAAGTAAGGAAAAAAGCCTTCACCAGGAACCTAGTGGGCTGGAATGTGCACCCTTAGTCTTCCCAGCCTCCAGAACTGCAAGAAACGCTTTTCTTGGGTTTCTGCTGTTGAAGCCAATCATTGTCTGTGATATGTTATGATGACAGCCCTAGCTGACCAAGAAAGACCAGCTGTGTACTGTACTTTACCTATGGGCAGACAGAGGTCCAGTGATGGAAAGTGACTTTCTAATAGAGCAGGCTGGATGGGGCTTTAAGCTATTGCATGTGCCATTAATAGTGCCTCCTTTTGAATGAACTACATTATGGGTATTTTTTTTAACTACAAAGGTGACCTTCTTCATTTATACAACTTTCCCTCTTTTTGTGCTCCTCTGCATGATCCTGGGACAAGTGCTGCCACTAATCATGTTTCTAATTTGGAACTAGTCTGACTCTCTGCGAGTCCTGGCAGCATGACTGGAAGGATTTTTGGTGTTATTTAGAAAAGATGAATGTGGCATTCATGATGGTGGAGGTTCCACCTAGGAAGACCCAAGCTCCAGTGCAGATGTACTGTTTCCTGGCCACATAAACCTAAGTAATTGGTAACCTCTCTTAGCCTTCTTCAGAACGTTTCTGCGATTAAATAGGGCAAAACACATAAAATCTATGACATGTATGTATAACAAATTAGTATCTAGAAATGATAAAGAACTGTTATATCTTGTCTATTGTGAACATTGATGGAACGAATACGAGAGCAACTGAAGTATATTTTAAAATACAAGTGGATAAAAAATGTGTATATATGTATATACTCACAAAGGAATACTATTTATCCTTAAAAAAGGACACTTGCCATTTGCTACCACATGGATGAATTTGTTAAGTGACATAAATCAGACACGAAGAACTAGATGCTCTCATTTAGATACAGAATGTAAAAATGTTGAACTCACAGAAGTACAGAGTAGCGTGGTATTTACTGGAACTGGGAGTGGGTATTGGGAATTGTTGGTCAAATGATCTAAAGTTTCTGATAGACCAGAGGAGAAAGATTCACTTCTATTGTACAACATGGTAATTATAGTCAATAACAGTGTATTGTATACTTGAACATTGCTGAGTGATTTTTTTAAGTGCTCTCACCATAAAAATAAGTGTCAGGCAAAGTATGTGTAATTAGCTCCATTTGGCTATTCTACAATGTATTCATCTATAAAAAGTCATGTTGTACAACATGAATATATATAATTTTCCTGCCAATTAAAGGCAGAAAAAAAACATCTTGAAGTCCAGCAAGAAAGACATTAACAGTTCCATGGAAAATTTGGCAAAAAAAATGTTCTGGAAAATTTCCTGGCAGAATATGACCTGGAAATTCAGGTCAAATGGTCAAGAAATGGTCAAGAAGATGCACAGACTTATTTATAATGAGGAACTGCAAATAAAAACAGTGAAGTAAAATGCAGTTGCAGGGCTGGGGAGATGGCTCAGAGGGCGAGGTACTTGCCACACAAGCACAAGGACCAGAGTTTGGATACCCAGAAACCGTGTAATAAAAGTTGGGCAGGAATGATGGCTGCATGATGGTATGATCCCAGCATGCAAGAGTCAGAGCTACTTAGACTGGCCAGAATCAGTGAGCTCTGGGTAAAGCAGGGTGCCCAGACTGAAGACATTAGATAGCAACTTTGGATTTCTGCATGCACATATACACGGGTGTGCAGTTCCACACGTGCAAACATGTATACGCACGTACACACAAACACCAAAATGTAGTGCCATAAATTCAGCAGTACTTAAAAGGGGTAGCCACAGAATGGGTGAGAATCGAAAGCAACAGGACAGTTACAACAAGAGGAAAAGTGTTTCAGCCACTTTGGAGAGTAATTTGGCAGATAACCTACAATTCAGCAAGTGTGTTTTTGTATAAAGCCCGAGGAGACAAGTGCAGAAAAAACTAGTAACATCCTGAACATCTATTAATAGGCCAAAGGATAAAAGATGTTTGATATTTTGACATTTTATTGCATGTATGGACCCCAGGCAAAATGAATTAGATCTGCAGATATCAATCTATGTGGATCTTAAAAAGACAATATTATATGATTAAAAAAGAGTGTGATGATTCATAGCTGCAGACAGCTAAGTATATAGTAAAGTCATAACTGGAAAGGATATGTATTCAGTGTGCCAAGATAAGGAGGTTGCTCAGTGGTTAATGCCCTTGCTATGCATGTATGAGGACTGGAGTTCCCATCCTCATAACCCACATAAATGCCGGGTGGCCGTGGTAGCCAGCCTGTAATTTTAGTCTCAGAAAGTGGAGATGGAATTCCCCAAGGCAAGCTGGAAAGAGTAGCCATATCAGCAAGTTCTGGGTTTGATTGAGAGACCCTGCCTCAAAGAATAAGGTGGAGGAGTGACCAACAGTGATTCTTGACATCAGTCTAGTCCTCCTCAGGCACATGCCACTCACATGTGTGATGTGTGTGTGCACTCACACACAGTTGCATACAAACACATGTGAACCTACACACACATACATGCACATCAAACACATCCATGAAGGTAGAAAAAGAAAACAACACCCCCCCATAAGATTCTTGGGAGGGAGAGAGGAGATGAACACAGGGAAGAGAATTTGAATATCTGATATGTTTTGTTCTTTCACAATATGGAGGTGAATGTGGCTGCTGTCATGATCTATTTTTGGTGGTTGATTCATAGATGCTTATGCAAATTTTGTACATATTTTTGGAGGCTTTTTGGGTTATCTTGGTCTTTTTTCCTCTCTGACTATTAGAACTTTATTCTGGCTTCGGTTGACATGAGTGCTTTCTACACTTGAGCCCAGTCAGCCCAGGATTCAATGCCTGGTTCCTTCCAATATTTCCTGGATGAAGTATGGTTTCATAAACTGGCTGTTAAATGGGCCAAGTGATGTCTCAGGAAGTGCATTCAGTGACTGAAGTGTGTCCAATGGGGAAAGGAATGTGTAGGCATCAGAAGACACATTCTTTCACCTCCCTGTACTCTGAGACATGTTTCCCATCCCCACTGACACGTCTATTGGCTGAGTGAGTGGATCTTCCAAGACACCAGCTGAATCTCTTCACAACTGAGCTGGCTGCATCAGGAGACAGCTTGCTTTTGCCTCCACATTCTTCTTCCTTATGGTGTCCATTCACTTTCATTGCTCTAGAGTTGTATTAACTTGTTAGCCTAGCCTTGGGCCCTTTGCTCTAAGGGATCTGGACTTAGACTTTACTTTTTTCACTTTTTTTCTATATTTTAGAAATAAAAAAAATCAGGAAACAGCTCATTCTGCAGTGGCTGCTGCTGTCAATATTGTTACAGCTAAATCAAAATCAGATACCACAGGCCTTAGAACTATTAATGTTGAAGAAAGCATAAATTATTAGGTATGGGGGAAACCTGAGCTATTACATACTGTTTAGTCCAAATTTTAAACAATTATTATAATTAATCTATATTTAATAGACTGAAAACTGGGTTTTTGCCTGGACTTATAGGCCGAAGAATGCTCAAGCAGAGACATAAATCAATATGCAGCCAGTCCCTCAGCTTCAGTAACTCCCTCTATCACTCTCCCAGCAGTTTCATTTCCTGTGGCACCTGGGCACTTTTGAACACTATGGTGGGTACTTACTCTCCACTGTGGTTCACGTTGTCATAACGCAGAAAAAGACCTGCGTAGATGGTCTCAGTCAGCAGGGCGTAAATGGCGATCATAATTAGCAGCACAGCCAGCTTCAGGACGGAGTTAAGCCGGAGAAAAACTGCACAGGTCACCATGGCCAATACTCCAGTGAAAACGAAGTACTGTAAACAGAGAAGGAAGGTGGTCAGACACCAGGAGACTCTCTGAGGCTCCCTCTCCTAGTCCTGAATGCCCACAGGCCTCATTAGGAAGATGTTTTGCTGAACCTTTCCCCTGGGACATTGAGTCCTCCTACCAGCGGAATTCAATAAGCTCTGACTTGAACTATTCATTCGCCCACCAAGTCTCTGCTCCCTCTCACTGTGAATGGCATCATCATTCACATTATCTCCAAAGCAAAAACCCGAGTCTCATCCTTGATGTCTTCTTCCCCATGGCCCTCAGGCAGGCCATCTGAAGTTTGCAGGCTCTGCTCTACTCCCTTAAAGATCTCACCTCCAGCCTGCTTCCTTCTTTACCTTCCCTTTACCTTGCTTGCTTTTGTTCTCAGGGACAGCTTAGATTTTTTTTTTAAAGAAAAATCACATTTATTTATTTGCCTGTGCACGTGGTGTGTGTGTGTGTGTGTGTGTGTGTGTGTGTGTGTGTGTATGCACGTACCATGTGGCAAAAGTGTGGAGGTCAGAGGATAGCTTGTGGGAGTTAGCTCTCTCTTTCCATCATGTGGATTCCAGGGATTGAACTTGGGTCATCAGGTTTTGTGACAAGTGCCTTAACCTGCTGAGCCATCCCCCTTCTCTTTTTATTTTTCATCTGCACCTGTTCTTGGACTTCATCTTCACTGAACACACACTTTCATTTTCTACCCAGTATCTCTTGCCACCTCTATTCCATGCATAGGAATCACTTTACTGACTCGTAGGGCTTAGCTAAAATGCTACTTTAAAGTTGAGCCCTATGGAAGTGCAAAACCATGAAGTATGAAAGATAGCAAGGCCCTGGAAAGCACCAGAGCATCTCCTTTGTCCCTTTTCTACCATGAGTGAATAGTTGGGGGAGAGTGGGAAATGGGAGGTCAACAGGAAGTTGCAGAAGCATCAAGGCTTTGTGACGGGGCGGAAAACCCCTCCACAGATCTAAAACTATCACATACATGTTTTCTATAACATGGTAGATTCTGGACCCAATGTCAGCACCAGGTTTCTGTCAAGCAAAGACAATTTCTGTGCTCAGGGAGACAGATGTGGCCCGGGGTTGCACATTTGGCATTATTCAGCTGAAGTTATGGCTGTGTGAAAAAGCACTGAGAACATAAAAAAGAAGACACAGAAAGTAACATGTACTGACTGCCATGTTTAGGGGCTGGGGGAGAAAGGAAATAAGACTAGTGAGTGGGAAGTTGAGGGGGTGACACAAAGAAGAGAGCTGGAAGAGAGCAGTTAAAACCCATGAGAACAAAGGACAGAAGCTGCTGTTACCACGGCTTTCAGAAGAGCATTTTAACAACAGCACAGGGAGGGTTTTCAATAATTAAACTGGAAGGCAGGATTCAAAATTGCATACAATACTATGATTGCAATGCAAATATGTATGTTTTTGTGAATGATTTTCTTTTGCAGTGTATGTTGCTGTTACTTTAGCGTGCGTTATGAAATGGGGCAGCGAGTTGAATATCCTGATGTGGAGTGAGCTCTTACACCCCTGTGCATTCTGTATCCTGCATAATAATGAACTTCCCAGTTTCTTTTGAATGTTTTCATGATAAAATATAATAATGCCAAGATTTGTATGAGAGGAGACCAGTGGAGTGTAATATTAGGAGACAAGGAGGACGAGCGGAAAAAAGGACATGAGTCAGGAAAGTTCTAGTATACAAAAGATTTTTCTAGTTTCAAATCCATCAGTTTTTCCACCTGGTGAATATATGAATTCATCTTTCTGTGTAACGAAGTAGCAAAAATCATTTTTCCTTCCAAAAGACTCTAACGTGTTATTCTTTTGATGTAGTGACTGTGAAAGTTGGGCTTTCTTCTTAATTTCATTAACCATTAGTACAATAGGAATTAGACAGGGCTAGTCACTGAATACATTTATCACACTGACCAAAATATTTTTCAGAGAGTTGATCTTCTTCAAGGGAGTGATGCTAGATATGCTGAGCAGGCTCCGGTGGATGAATTCACACCAAGAGACATCTGAGTACACAAAATTGACTCCAAAATCCTTGACATATATGACAGAATGCGTGAAATCCAATGGGTAGGCTATGGAGGGGTGCAGATACGGGTGGGGTTCCAAATGTGATTAAGATGTATGAAATCCTCACAAATTCAATAAAATATACATTGTAAAAATTTGTTTTAAAAACTATATCAAATTATTATATTATTGTGATATTTAATATACAAATTGTATTGCTATACTTAAAGTATGTGGACAAAAAGAGAAATGTTAGGTACTGAGCAAAGTTCCCAGTTATTTTTGGTAGAAGAATGGGGCAAACTACACATTACTTTTTCCTTAGAAAAAGGAAGATGAGACTCAATAATAAAATCATTTTGATCATTAGAACTTTGGATACTGCAGTGCACATTGACATCTTAGTTTCCATATGAGGAAAAAGAAACCAAAGGAAATTCAGGAGGCAGGATGACTGTGGATAGATGTACAGTCACAAAAGATGTGGCAGTGTGAGGCTGACTAGACCCTATGTTAAATGAACTCAGGGTAAGACAGGGACCAGTTTTTGGGGGATGACTATACCCCAAGGATGAGCTAGTAGAGGGCAGTTGTGACGGTTAGAATCACTCAGTGGACACAGTCTACGCAAAGCACTCTACAAAGGCTTTGTATACCATGTCTTATTCAATTGTTGATGTGATTTAAGGATAGGTATGCTTCTTTTGCCAATTCTGAAGTCCAGGGGAAGTCTATATAGTACTTTTCTATTCTGATACTCAAGGCTTTCTTCTCTCAGATGATACACTGATCTGGGAAATCATGAATAAATGAAATTCCTCTAAATCTGGAAGATCTGGAATCCCATGACTTGACAAAGTGTGGAGGGGTGAAGTATCTGGCTCTGTCTGCATGAAATAAGCACTTTACACATTAAAATACGCCTTCATTAATATGTGGTTTTTAACTAAGAATCTACTGTGCACCAAAAATTATGCCAGAATGGAAGGCACCATAATCATGTTAGGACATTGTCATGATATACATTTCCTTGACAATATGTAACATCAAAGAAGAAGAATTTTACACAATGGTTACTGAAGAAGGAATTGAGTATCTACACACACAACTCAGACATTCTGAACCCTCTGTGCCCATTTGGTTGCTCCCTTCTTCCTTGGTTGCTCCCCAAATCCCATGGCATCCTAAACTCACACAGCAAGAAGGAGAGAAACCAATTTCCAAAAGTTACTATTGTTCAAGGGAATAATCCAAGCATACAGAATCTGATTCCTAGCTAATTCAGATCATGGGGCAAGCAGCACAGTGAGGGTACACAGGCAAAAACCAAAGTTGCTCTCCCTGACCATCAGCCTGGGTTCCCACATATCCAAGGAATGAAGGTGTCATAATTTTTGAGTCACCAATGGTGAAAGGGGAGATTACTGGGCCAATACTCTAAGCTGCTTACTGGGATGCATTATCTTAGGAAAGAGGCATTTGTGTGTGTGTGTGTGCACGTGGCGTGCATCTGTGCATGCATGCATGCATATGTAATGTTTCTTGTGCCTGGTATTTGTTATAGTTTAGGAAAATTTAGATTTATAGTTTTCTTCAAATTTGGGAAAAGTTGGTCATTACTTATTTAAATAAGTTTTCTTCTCTTTGGGGGGAGGGGACTTCTAATTATGTATACAATACATTGCTTGAAATTGTACTTGATGCTGGTTTTGATTCTTATTTTATTTTTTAATTTATTTTGGACACTTCTGTGGCCAAGTCACCAGTTTCACTGTTTTTGATTTGCAATGTCTAGTCACACTAACTTCCTTCCAGTGAACTTTCGCCTCACGCATTTCCAGATGTTCAATTTAGACCTTACACCTATCTCTTAGGGCTTTGAACATCTGGAATACAGTTACAAAAATTATCTCATCATTTATGTTTGCTGACTACACATACACAGCCAGCTCTGCCTTTATTTCTGTTATGCAATCCCCCCTTCATTATTTACATTTCCCTTCTTTTTAAAAATATTTTATTTATTATTTTTATTTTTTGTGTATGACTGTATTGCCTGCATGTAGGTAAGTGCACCCATGTCGTGCAATGCCTGTGGAAGACAGAAGAGGCTGTCGGATCCCCTGGAACTGGAGTTACAGACAGTTGTTAGCTTCCATGTGGGTGCTGGGATTCAAACCTGGGTCTTATGCAAGAACAGTCACTGTTCTTAACTGCTGAGCCATCTCTCCACCCCCCCCCCATTTCCCTCCTTTCAATGCTTGATAATCTTCAGGCACATTTCCCTCTTTTCATTATTTGCTTATCTTTCACTAGATACTAGCCATAGTGACGTGACTTTGTTAAATTCTGGATGTTTTTATACTCCTTTGAATGCTCTTGAAATTCATTTTTGGAATTAATGAAATCACCTGAGGGTAGCATCATCTTTTTGGGTCTTACATTGAGCTTTCAACAATGGTGGCTGTTTGCACAAGACCCATGCTGACTTAATCAGACAAAAGCCCAGCACAGAATGAAGGATATGGGCAGTGGGTCCCAACTCTAGTCCAAGATCTGTTGGCAACTGATGACTGTTGGGCGAAGGAGAGTAGATCTTCTCCAAGGGGGTGACTCTAGATAGGCTGACTAGGCTCCAAGGAATGAGGGCCATCTGGGAACAAAGCTTGACTGGATCAGGCGTAACATATATGCATGAAATTCAATGGGGGGAGACTACATGAGGGTATGAATGGGGAGAGGGTGTACATTTGATTAAGATCTATTATATGAAATACACAAAAACTCAATAAAATACTTTAAAAAATAAGAACCAAAGTAGTATATAATCTAGGAGTAATTGTTTAATGCAACTGAAGTAAGACCCCCTCCAACTGCCAAGTGTCCAGTGGATTGTGACTTGTTAAGTCAGTGGGGGTATAAACAGTGTTTTCAACCCTGTGTGAGTTGGAGACACTGATACATTCTAATGGTTCTTTCCTTATCACCAGTTTCTTACATGCTTGTCCTGACCAGATCATCTGCAATTCTCTCCTCTTTGGTGGTATGTTCTGCAAGCTCTAAGTCACTTTGATCTCCTGAGACTCTCATGTAACTATTCCCAAGTCAGGGGTTCATTGGGTTTCAACTGGGTTTGCTTCCCTGAGCCATAGTATGAACAATGCTCAGGTGATCACAGGACTCACTCCATTTGCTTCCTGTCCTCATTGCTATAAAGCTCAGTGTCTTGAAAGCTACAGTTTCATGTGTTACCTTTGCTTGTTTCTAGTAATTCCTAGGTAGAGCTTGCCATGGGAAGGATGCTTTCTTTCTCTTAAATGTTGTTAAGGTTCTATCCTGGGTGTGGCATTTGGGAAATTTTACCATAACACTATGATATCATCTTCTATCCTTAAATAACTTTGTAAATATGAGGTGATTTGAAATATGTCATAGTTATGTAAGTCAGAGTACAAAGAATAGATGATTCCATCACGTATGTGAGACAGCAGAGAGGAAAGGTATGTGAAAGCACATGAAAAAGGGAGGCTTGAAGGCTGGGAGTGTTCGACAGGTGATTCCATGATGCAGGACTCAGTCATTTCTTTATTGGAAAACCAGCTCTCAGGCACCCTTTATTCCACAGCCAGTCCTGGCCCTGGCTGCTCTTACAAACAGTGTCTTCTTGTTAGACAGAGCACATAATATAGGGGCTTGATTCTCAAATGAGGTTTTTCCACTGAGCCTCCTGAGAACTACGGGCTGGTATCAGATATGATGACTGTGTGCATGCGTGCGTGCGTGCGTGCGTGAGTGCGTGTGTGTGTGGTTTGCATTTCATAAGCTGATAAGACTGCTTTTAACTCAATTGGAAAATGACTTTCTTCATCCGTTTTTTTTTGCATTTTTACTCTTTTTTCAGTGACAGGCTTCCAACTTAGAACTAAATTATTCTTTATATCATATGTTATAATAATTTTATGTTTATATCATATCATCTAATTTGGTAATGTGTTTTTAACTGAGTTTATGTGGAAACATCATATCTATAGCAGAGCAAATCAAAGCTCAGAGAGATTTAGAGCTTTGCTTGGGAACAGACCCTTGTAAGTACTGGGAGTTGGATTAAGCCTTCAATTTCTGAATGTCTAATTCCTTCTAGCTTGGCAGGCAGAAGATAGTAGAGAAACAGCTATACAGCCTGAAGAGGCAAATATTGGTCAAATTAGATGTTTGTCACAGCTGAAGAATTTGTCCTGTGACCACAGTCCACTAACTCCTGAGCAAGATGATCCTCTGGTTACAGAAGAAACTAGTGAATCTCTTATTTATAGTTATTTTGTCTCAGTTTTATTTCCATTTTAGAGTATATCTATTTGTAACATTTTTTTCTTTTTGAATATGCTTATGTGTAACATATACTGACAGGGCATACTCAAGATTTTTCTACTGGAAATAAAAACTCATGGCAGGGATTTATTGATTGGCAGATGTTCCCTAAATTCTTTATGTGAATGAATACACTTAATCCAATAATTGCTTAAGTGAGAACTACTACATCCTTATTTTATAGATAATGAGGCATAGAGAAAAAAAATCTATGTGATCATAAAGGTTTCCTGGTACTTTCTTAGGACTGGAAAATCCATGAAAGCTGAGGTCCTGAGCTGGGAAGTGCAGGTGTGTGTCCATGGGTATAGAGTGTTGATTTAGAGTGACAGAGGGACACAGATCAGCACATCATGAACACCTGTTTTATGTCAGACATATTTCAGGAACTATTTGCCAACTCAAATTGGCAAGCACCAAAGAACAAGGTATTCATTTTCCCATTTTATAGATGAGGAAACTGGTTCAGAGAAAGTAATGACTGACTTAGCTGGAAGTGAAATCCAGCTTGAACTAGCTCTGGCTACCCAAGTCTTAGCCTCGTTCCCTACCCCCTTCACCCAGTGCTGGGATACACCCCATGCTCTTCAAATCAAGGAATTCTCAGGAAGTCATCATCCCAAAGAATCTCATAAATCAGGGCAGAAGTCTCAGGCTGTGTGACCTGCTCCCATCCATCCCTACACATCCCAGGAAGAGTCTACTTCCTTCTCCGATTGGAGTAAGAATAAGGAAGATATATTTCAAGAGTCAGTACCAAGCTGTTGTAACAGAGTTAAAAAGAGAAAGGACAAGAAGAAGAAAGGAAGACAGGCAGGAAGGCAGGTGAGTGCACTGAGCAAGCTACTTTCTGAGAACCTGGGGCAGCAGCCTCTGCCCTGTATGTATACCTGGAGGATTTATTGATGCTCTACATTTCCAGCAGGTGCTTTATACATACAGGTGGAGAGAGGTGAGGCTTCCTCTCCTTTACGGAATGCTTCTCAGACCAATTCTCATGCTCAGAAAGGCTATGCAGACAGAACCTTTTCTTATCTCACACATTGGAAGATCTCTGGATATGCAGTATCTCAGAGAATAAGTCTCCTCAGGGTCCTCCGAGTATGGGGTTAGTTTGGGTCTCCTGGAGCCTGCCAGTGGCTGTCCCTTCTGACCTAGAACTTCTCTAATTTGTAAAGATCTAGAGTAACAGATCTCCTAGGCTGGACTGAAGGTCCAGGGATAGATCAGTGGTTCTGTGACCAAGAGAGGTCCAGATAGGCATGGCGATGACTGGTGCCCTGCTGGGATGTCTCCTGAGCCAGTGATTCTCTGAGAACTCTCCCTACCTCTTTGACCTAAGTTTACTTGCTTTTTCCACCTCTATGAGTGTCTTTTCTGCTGTTTCTTAATTATTTTCTTTTCTTTATCCCCCCTCCTTCTCTACCTTCCTCCCTCCCTCCCTCTCTTCCTTCCTTCCTCCCTCCTTTCCTTCCTTCCTTCCTTCCTCCCTCCCTCCCATCCTCCCTCCCTCCCTTCCTTTCTTCCTTCCTTCCTTCCTCCCTCCCTCCCATCCTCCCTTCCTTCCTTCCTTCTTTCCTTCCTTCCTCCCTCCCTCCTTCCCATCCTCCCTCCCTCCCTTCCTTTCTTCCTTCCTTCCTTCCTCCCTCCATCCCTCCCATCCTCCCTTCCTTCCTTCTTTCCTTCCTTCCTTCCTTCCTTCCTTCCTCCCTCCCTCCCTCCCTCTCTTCCTTCCTCCCTCCTGTCCATCCTTCTTTCTTTCTTCCCTCCCTCCCTCCCTCCCTCCCTCCCATCTGTCCTTCTTTCCTTCCTTCCTTCTTTCCTTCCTTCCTCCCTCCCATCCTCACTTCCTTCCTCCTTCCTTCCTTCCTTCCTCCCTCCCTCCCTCCCTCCCTCCCTCCCATCTGTCCTTCTTTCATTCCTTCCTTCTTTCCTTCCTTCCTCCCTCCCTCCCATCCTCGCTTTCTTCCTCCTTCCTTCCTTCCTTCCTTCCTTCCTCCCTCCCTTCCTTCCTTCCTACCTCCCTCCCTCCCTCTCTTCCTTCCTCCCTCCTGTCTGTCCTTCTTTCCTTCCTTCCTTCCTTCCTTCTTCCCTCCCTCCCTCCCTCCCTCCCATCCTTTCCTTCCTTCCTCCCTCCCTCCCTTCCTTCCTTTCTTTTTTTTCTCTTACTTTTGAATGCACCACTGTTGAAGCAGAAACCTGCTTGACAATAGAGACCCTGACACATTCTGCTATGGGATTTTATAGGTGAGCTTGGAGGAAATGAATAGGGAGGAAGAGACAAAGGAATTAGATACATACATAAAGGAAAAGGTGAGGAGGCAGAAAGGGGCAAGGGTGGGGGAGAGCAGAGCGAGAGGCAGGAGGGCAGCTATGGAAAGAGGCAGAGGAATAGGCAGGAAGGAGGGTGGAGAAGCAGCATACATATGGGGAGAATGAAAATCAGAAAAGGGGAAGAAGAAGAAGAAGGAAGGAGGGAGGAAGAGCAGGAGAAGGAACATGGGCTCTAGAGCAGTTGCTAAGTCCCTTTGGCCAGTCCTGTGCCCGTGGGCTGGTGAAGATGTTTTTGTCCACCTCTCACCAAGGGGGAGCTTGCAAATAAATACCTCTGGGTAGGAGCAGATATCTGTAAACCCAGCTGAGGAATTGAAAGTCAGGTTCTTCAAGGATATCGACTTGTCAAAATCACACCACAGCTGCGGATTGAAAAAAAAAAAAAAAACAACAAAAAACAAAAAAGACACAGGAACAACAGTCAGTGTGAGTGCTGGGAATGGGAGCTGTGCGCTAGCAGCTGCTGGGCTTCAGCCAAAGCCAGGGGAAGGCGGGCCTAGAGGGGCCTGACTGCCAGGAGGAGGTACCAGCTTCCATCACTGCTTTTATTTAAAAAACAAGTGCTGGCTCAGAAAAAGCTTTTGCAAGCCAGTCACAAAACTGGGTTAACAGGAACAACAGTCAGTGTGAGTGCTGGGAATGGGAGCTGTGCGCTAGCAGCTGCTGGGCTTCAGCCAAAGCCAGGGGAAGGCGGGCCTAGAGGGGCCTGACTGCCAGGAGGAGGTACCAGCTTCCATCACTGCTTTTATTTAAAAAACAAGTGCTGGCTCAGAAAAAGCTTTTGCAAGCCAGTCACAAAACTGGGTTAAGACTGTTCTATTTGCCCATTCACTTAGGGACACTGGAGTGTGTTTGTAGGCCTCAGAAGAGAGCTGGACAGCAGGGGAAGACGTCTAGGGTGAGTATGTAGTCTGTCTCCAGATCCATGGCTGGGAGGATCTGAGGGACCCGAAGGGGTATATTTTCCAGATAGACTCTTAACATTGGGGTAATGGACATCTCCTAGGACAGATGTTACTGCTGGAGATAGGTTTTGGCATTCCAAAAACATAACTGCCATTGACTGAAAACCTCCTCTGTGCCAGACACTTCATACAAAAGCCTCACAATCACTTTGTGATGTGGCTACTGTTTTTTTATCCCCAGTTTACAACTGAAAAATATGAAACTCTGAGCAGTAGCATGTCCAGCGCAGGTGACTGGTGGAACTGAAATTCAAACTCTGGTCCATCTGACTCCAAAGCCTCCTATCTACCAGTGTGACACAGCGACTCTAACCTAGAGCCATTGGGCTTCTTCCCAAATCCTAGACTCCAGAAAAGTCTACTTCACGAAGAGATCCTGGCTACACCTGGCTGCCTGTGATCAGCGAATCTCCATGCTTCCATTTCAACCGACTTATAGAATGTTCATCAGATGACCACTTCATTTTCTTTGTCCCTTAGAGTCCTTCACAACAAGGACAACCACAGAGTTCAAGCAATGACCTGGTGGCAGTCTAAGCCTGCAAGTCATATGCCTACAACTGGGAAAGTGCACAACTTGGGTCACTGAATGCTTGGGGATATTCCCCATGGTCCAAAGGGCACAATGATGATTTCAGCTACAAGATAATACTTCTCAACTAGGCTGTCTCCACATGTCAAAGTTAAGATCAGAATCAGGTTAAACACCTTTACAATTTAGCTTCCTGAGCCACAGACAACATGACTGCATATACACAGAAAATTCCTATTATTGTCATGATATAGAAAATGAAACCATCGAAAGGTGGATCACCAGTCATAAATATTATGGCAGTTGGAGTTTCATCTGAGTTCTATGTGTTGCATCAAATATAAGCCCTTAGAGAGTCATAGGCAAGGGTCTCGACCTTCCTCAAATGCAGTTTCCTCATCCATCAAATGTGGAGAATGATACCTACCTGTTGCACACAGTAGGTGCTCAATAAATGACAGATATTTTGTTTCCATCTCTCCACCCACCCTCCCAGGGCTACAGTTTAGCATAGTAGAATGAACATGGGTCATGGAGTCAGACAGACCTTATTAGTAAGTTATTTCATGTCTCTGAGCTTCAGATGCCTCAGCCACAACGTGGGGATAAGTGAGACTTACCTCATGGGGATTATGTGAGGATTAAATATGAAAAATATGTCAAGCTCCTCCTTCAGTGCATGGCACATAGTAGGTAGATTCTGGTACTTAAATAAATGTAAACTTTCATCCATCATTGCATTATAGTTCATTGGTCACTGACAGTACACAAACTGAGACTGTGGAGTTCCTTGGAGCAATTAACTTTCCCTGCTGGAGAAAAGAGAACTTTTCCACAGCAAAGCATGCAGTTCTGACAGGGGGCACATTTTTCCCTCTGTCCCTAAGCTTGGGGTTGAACTGGCGATGCACGAAGCTGCTGGTTCCATAAGCTTTAAATTCCCAACTCTGTACTAGATGCCAGAGGGCTGGGGCGGGGGGCTGGGCAATGCTTACAATATTTAGGACGGCACCCAGGAAATTAATCAAGATGGAAGCAAAGATGATGACGTTCCGGGCCAGATAGGTTTCATTGATCCAACAGCAGGTTTTCCGGAGGACGAGGGGCAGACACTTGTAGTCTTCTGCTGTCGTGATGAGGACCAGGGCAGAGTGCAGCATGATGAGGATGGAGAACTGAATGGTCATCGGCACCAGTCTGCAGGAAGCACAGAGCACGGGTCACATGGCACCAGCCACTCCGTCCCCTCTTCCCGAACAGCCCTGGCAGCCCTGGTCATAATCTCTTTTCCCCACCCCGTGTGCAAAAAATCCGAAACACTTGGCTTCATTTATTGCTTGCTCTTTCCCTCCCCTTTTATTTTTTTCTTTTTTGTTTGTGTGTGTGGTGTTTGCGCAATTATGTATGCATGTTCACATATATGTGGACACACATGTATGATATGTTGGTGTCTGTGTGTGAGTGTGCATGTGGAGGCCAGAGCTGACATCAGATGTCTTCCTTGATCATTCTTCTCTTGCTTTTCAGGGGGCACCTGTTGCTAAGGCAGTATACCATCACATTTTATCTTAATACTTTGTGGGAGGGGCTCTTTCAAGGTGGAATTTTAAAATATTTTATTTTATATATATGAGTGTACTGCCTGCATGCATGTAAGTGCACCCATGTCACGCAATGCCCACAGAGGTCAGAAGAGGGCATATGATCTCCTGGAACTACAGTTAAGGATGCTTGCTACCCACCATGTGCTGGGAATTGAACCTGGGTCCTCTGCAAGAACAGCCAGTGCTTTTAACCACTGAGCCAACTCTCTAGCCCCTTATGGTGGGTTTTATGACTCTTTCCCTCTCTATCTGATGCCAAGAACTGGACTTGGTATTAAGTTGGGTTAGTGATTACTGAGGTTTGCATGCAGTGTATTATATACCTTTGACTCTACAGGTATGGCTGAAGTTTGGGGGTGCAGATAACTATTCATTTTTGTCTAAGACATCAATATTCGTTCTGAATTTACACTCCAGGCTTCAAAATCTCATCAGAGCTTTGCCCCACTGAAGTCTGTGTTTATTGGACCCCTCCATAGGGCATCAAAATATTCCCAGCAACTTATGGTTCTATTAATAACACTCTATTCCTGGAGGCCTCTTTGACTGCTTCCTCTCCTTATCAACCAAATTATCACCAAGTGTGTTGGCTCCTCTGCTTGGGACTTAATCCCTTGCTTTCTAGTCTGTGGCTATTTGTGACCTACTGCGGCATCTCTTGTTTTCTTGCCTCTCAGGTACAAACTGCTGCAAGTTGTTAAAGGGTACCTTCACAGAAGTGGCTAAAGATTTTCTGTCTTCTACAAATGAACAGTTTTCTTCTTTAAGATATCCTATTAACTGTCACTCAAATATGGGTTTAGCAAATGAAGTTGGGTCCCTGCTCTTCTAACACAGTCTCTTGCCATCCTTATGCCTGGACAACGATCAAGCTCTATGTGCCAGGCATTATGCAGATTGCTTTATAAATACTATCTAACTTACATTTTTCAAAAGAAACATAAGAGGTCTTTTTTTTTTCTCCAGATGAAGGTTTAAGGCTCACAGAAAAACAACTTCTCATGGTCATTGAGTTGATAAACGTTGAAGCCAGATTTTAAATCCACATGCTAGGCCACTCTGCTGCTATTCTAGTAACTTTGGTGAGTGGCGTGCTCCATGGTTTTCCAGTGATTGCTTTTGCTTTTGTGCTTTTGTGTTTTATTCGGTAAGTTTTCTTCTCATACAGAGTGGGCATTGGGTACCAGGACTAAAACACACACCTTCCATATCCTCTAGGATGTCATAAGCCAGAGGAGAATGCGTCATACAAATGACAAAATAGTATACAATACAATGTGCTCCATGAAGAGTCATGAACAGCTATCATTTGGAAAGGAAGAAGGGGAGGTGATATTGGGGTTGGCCTTGCAGGCTGAAAAGAAGCTTGTTTTGTTTTAGTGTAGGGAAAAGTGAGAACAAGAGTGGAAGAACAAGAGCATCCAGTGTGTCTAGAATTGTGTAATGATCCATGATTTAAAGGCTGGAGGGAAACCAACCTAACTGCTGCTTTACTGGGGAGTGTTCTCTTGCAAGCTTAAGATTATAAACCAGGGAAGGATGTGAGTGACACCCAGAGAAGGTAGAGGATTAATGAGCAGGAAAAGTGTTTTGAAGATTCAAATAGTTGAAGTAGGAGTGGACAACAGAGGAACACAGGGAACACTGATAATCAGGAGTCTCGGGGGAGGCTGTGGGGCCAACCTAGCAGGTGTTCTATAGTGTGCATTGAAAGAGAGAGAACTTAAGGACAACACTCATGTTTTTAACATCTTAAATGAGTAAGTGTAGGAAGCAAAGATAGTCTTTACAGGAGGTAATAGATGAGTTTGATTTGAGAAAGTTAAATATTTGGTATTTGTTTGAGAATTATCCAGTTGGAGACATTTAACTGTTACAGGGATAGTTAGGGGGCCAGTTGTGGACTTCTGGGCCTGGAGTTATTGATTAATAGTGAAAGTGAAATTAGTTGATAGTAATTTAATAGTGAAAACCATTAAAAGGAGATATATTCAATGTGGCTACATTAGGAAGAGGAGCCAAGGGATACATTAACCACCCCAAATCCATCTTTGGAGTCCTGAAGTGAGACTGAGGTTTAAGTAGAGGACGAGAGTTCTGTATATCTAAGTCTCCAGTCAAGGTGTGATCCTGCCATTACTGCCTCTACAATAAGGTGGTCTGACAAATTTTCAGCATTGCAAATCCCTTTCTGAGAGAAAAGTTTCCCTCTGGCTCACTCAGGCTTTAGGCTTTCTCTTCTCCCAACATGAGATTACTGGGGGAAATTCCAGTTTCTTAGGGTTCATTGTTTCATTGTCTGATAGCCAAAGTGAGGGACACAAGTGTGTGTCTGGTATATCTTCATCCCTGCCAGCCTGGTCACATCTTTTCGTGGTCAGGCAATGGGAAAGCTGGGACATGACACTCCTCGCTCCAGCTACTGTTTCTAGAGTTTTTTTTTTTTTTTTTTTAAAGTACCAGACTGGTGGAACTAATCTTCTTGGATGTTTAACAGACATACTTTGGGGCCTGTACTAATCTGGTTAGAGGGACTTAAAGGACAGTTTTTGCTCCTTGCCCTCCAAGGTCAACTAAATTCCAGGGGACTACGGAGCATCTCTCAAAATGTCCTGTAACTGTAGTAAGCCACCTGTCCTCTTGATCAAGGAGGCCGTGGAGACCCCATGAGATGGACTTGAACCAGTGTCCAGTCTACACAGAGGAGGGTCAACACAGAGGAATCATTTCCTCCATGCTTCCAAGCGAAGCCAGCCATGGTTGAGCAGGACCTTTGACTTATCTTCACATAGATGGAACTGGTAAAAGAAAGGAGCCAGGGGCTTCTCCCAAGCCCATATGACCCCTGAGGAACAGATCCTCATATGACCTTAAGTGTAAAAATAAATTGGTTTATTTGGGTCAACTGCATGGTCTTAAACACCCAAAAGGAAAGGATAACCAAAGATTAAAGTGATCAGTATATTTCTTTAAGAGTTCAAGGGATTGCACTTCCCAGACATTAGGCTTAAGTCCATCTGAAATGTTATTTAGACAATTATTTCTCAATGGTGATTGTGTTTCTAAGCAGAAAGTACTGCTCAGATGTAAGAGTTCAAATCTTGGTCTGCAAAAAATTCAGTTTTGATTTGATGGATCACCTTTATAAGATTCTTTGTGGGAATTCTAAGTAGGAATAGCAGATTTGTGCAGCAGTGAGCTCCCTGAGGGCTCCAGGCAGATGGGATTCCCCCCACCCCCTAATGTGCTGGAATTCAAAACACCCCCTGACAAGACTCCATTAGTCACTGGCACCCAAGGGAGGTGAATGAAGATGAGCACAGGTGGAACACTTTGTCAGGCAGTCCCGTGAGAGAAGACACCATGCCAAGCCTGGTGTGTCTCAGTCATGTGAAGCAGCCGTGCAGAATAAGCATGTCTTTTTTCCAAGTGTGAAGGAGAAGTAAACCAGGAAAGGCAAATTTGAAAGATGCTCAGCATATCTTCAAACTCTCAAGTGGCCACCACTATGGAGTATGCAGGGCCAGGAGGGTGGGCTCTTGGCTCTGTAGTCTGGGTAGAACAGAGCTACAGGAAGCCTGCCTGAAAGCTATAGTAATTATGCTTCTGTGAGGACTTTAATGGTGCAGGTCCTGCACATCCTGAAGGGTTCAGCTTTCCTTCAGGTCCCCTCCCTGAGCCAGGGATGGGGCTGAGCACAGAGGTGTTCAGTGAGCTTGGGATTTTGACATGGAGGGAGATCCTTTGCTCTTTTCAGCAGCCTATATTGGGAAGAGGACTCCAAGCAGAGCCCCAAGCATGATGTGCTTGCAGTGTCCTCCCTGAGAAGGGTCAGGCTGATGTACTCATCTTCTACACTGGTGGCTGTGTCTCATGCTGGTCTTAGCATCACAGCAGAGAGTTCTCACACTAGAATTTAAAGATAGTTCTCAGGGCAGGTGAAGGTTCAAGGGAATGAGCATGGAGACCATGTGGTCTCTATTCCAGATTTTGCCAGGGTTTGTACAGACATTTGTTTGGAAATCTGTAACACTAGTGTCTTGTGGCCCACTTCACTATTGGGCTTTTGCATATGCTTTTCAGGGGGCAGGGTCATCCGGGCACACTTAAGGCTACAGGTGAGGGTTTGTACCTGAATGTGGCATAATTCTAAATGTCTTTCTTTTTGGTTTACCTATAAAGGGAGATTAATGTGAAGATGGGAAGAGTGATCCACCAGCAAGACCAAAGCCTCCTGTGTCTGAACCTATAATTCCAAAATGAACCCAGTAACTCTCAGCCTTGGGGAAGGCATCTAGTTCTTCTGAGCCTCACTTTTAAAAATTGCAAACTGGAGTTTTTAGGCTTACTTTAAAACAATTTTATTTACTATTTTTATTTTATGTGTATGAGTGTTGCATCTGCATGTGTGTAAGTGCACCAGTATTGTGCAGTGGTTATAGAGGTCAGAAGGGGAGGTCAGATCCTGTGGAACTGGAGTTAGGATGGGTGTTAGATGCCATGTGAGTCCTGGGAACCAAACCTGGGTCCCCTTCAAGAGCAGCCAGTGCTCTTAACCGCTGAGCCATCCCTCCAGCTACCAGGCTCACTTTCTAAAGGAAGGAATGGAAGCAACATCAAAGGAACTCAAAGACTTGGCAATTCTTTTTCTCATGTTGAAATTCAGGACATTAAAAATATTTTAAAAGGCTATGTAAAAACTATTGATTGTAAGACAGGCTTTCTAAGCAGGGTGCTGCATATAAATACTTCTGGAAGTCTCTGCAGCCACTTCTCAGTGCTCATATATTTCTGCACACATAAACATTATAACATCAGATTGCAAATTCCATCTAATTATAGAGCTATTCAGGCATCCAGGGGTTCTGAATTTGATTGTGCATTGTTGCTGCACATGAGAGACAAGGAAACCTTTCGTTTCTGAAATGGAGTCTCAAAAAGAATGACAACGGATTTGCAAACAGCTCTATCCAAGTCCTTTCTAGACATTAAGTTCTAATTATTCTCTGCAGACTGTGTTTAAAATAGGGATTGGGTTGTAGTACAATGTGCCATTTGCTGGGGAGGCAGAGATCAGTGGAAGGATGTGAACAGCCCATAGAAGCTTGTGGTTGGATGGGAAATGGAACCTCAGATCATACAAAAAGATGACATTTGTATGACACTTTAGAATCTGCAAAGAACCTGTGAGAACAATTGTGCATTTGATCCTGGAGCAACTCTGAGAGGTGGTATTCTCAGCTCTTTCAACAGACACAAATTATTTGACTTGGGAAAGCGAAGGGAACCAGAACATGCCTCAAATGAAAATGGTTGATTTAATTTTTGTGGCAGTCTTAGGAAGCGAGTGTTACTTTTCTTATTTTTTAAAATAAAAGATTATTTTAAATTATGTTTATATACATGTGTGTATGGAGGGGGTATATGCAGGTGAGTGCTGGTGCCCTTGATGTCCAGAAGAAAGCATTGTATGTCATGGAGCTGGAGTTATAGTCAGTTGTGAGCCACCCAACATGGGTGCTGGGAACCAAACTTGGTCCTTTTCTAAAGCAGTATGTATTCTTAATGGCAACACCATCTCTCCAGCCCCTTATAGATGAGGAAACTAAAATGTCAAAGAAGTTAACTACACGTAACACAGTTGGTAAGATACACTGAAAATGATTAGGCTGTTTACCTTTTTCTTTTCTTATCCTCTGTCTCTTGCTCAGTACCTCTTTCCCTCCTCCTCTCCCCCCTCTGGCTTTTGCTCTCTCTGTGTGTTGGTTAGTTTTTGTGAACTTGACATGAACTAGGGAAGAAGAAACACCTGGGAAGAAGAAACCTCCTGAGGAATTTCTTCCATCAGGCTGGCCTGTGGGCATGTCCGTTTTCTTACTTTGCTAATAGGTGGTGCCATCCCTGGGTAGGTAGGCCTGGGCTGTATAACAAAAGTAGCTGAGAAAGCCAGGAAGAAGCAAGAGAGTAAGCGATGTTCCTCCATGGTCTCCGCTTCAGCTCCTGCCTCCAGATTTCTGTCTTGAGTTTCTGCCTTGGCTTCTCTTGAAGATGGACTGTGATGTGGAAATGTGAGCCAAATAAACCACTTGGTTTTGGTCAGTGTTTTATCATAGCAATGGAAAGCAATGGATAACACTCTAGTAGCAGCATGCACGGAGACTTAGGTATATGGTGTCTATATTTACAAAAGGTATTCTAAGTTATATTCTAGTTGTTTCTTGGATTACCCTTCTGAGCAAACACCTATGAGTGTGCAGAAACTAAAGCAAAGAACTGGGCTAGCATTGTTCGCCTTTGCCAAGGCTGTTATTTTTTTCTTACTTTTTTCTTATTATTTTTCTTATTATTTTTTCTTCAAGGGCTGGGAATTAGCTGTTGTCATATGAGTAAAGACTGCTTCATCTGCTAAAATAATCATTACAGTGTGCGAGGGAATGACACCCACCACCATCATGCAGCAACAAAATGAACTGAAGAGGAAACTATCACAAACTAAAGAGCTTTTGTTGTGTCCAGGGTGAACTGGCCACTCAGTTCTTACAATATGGGGACTGTCTGGTCAGAGTTCATTTTGGAAATTTTTCATGGTCATGTTTTCTGGTCACTAAGAAAGCGAGGTGGGAGCACTGGCTGTTTTGCAGTTACAAGCCTCAGGTGGAAGCCAGGGTCAGGAGCTCCTTCTATCCAGCCACCCAGGGAAGTCCCTTGTTCCTTCTTCAATCCAAAAACCAGGGCATCAAGCCTGGCTTCCGTCTCCTTGACATGCCACCTGTGGAGGGAACCTGCCTAGGCTCCCTGGTGTTCTTCTCTGACTGATTCACTGTGGGGGATATGCAATATCAACATATATGTTTATATACATCAATAGAACATAATCCTCTACATTTATAACCTACATATTTAGACACAAAGATACTTCAACTGTTTCTTTGTCTTATTCTACCAGATTATAAGGTCCTAGATTAAACATTTTTCTTTGTTGCTGAGAAGAGTATCCCCAACATCTAGAGTAGGTATGGTGTGTAATAAGCATTCACTAGCTCTTGGTAGAAGGCTGTCCTAACTTTGTTGGAAATGCATATGACCTCTGTCTGCCTGTCTGTCTGTCTGCCTGTCTCTCTTTGTCTCTCTCTATTAAGAGCTTTCCTTAAATTGTAGAATTAAGCATAAATAAAAAGTATAAAGAAAAGCGTAGCTTAATTTGTTTCTATAAAGTATTTGCTTTGTAATAATCAACCAAGATCTTTGGGGGCCCATCCTGTCTCATTCACAGTCCTTTTCCTCAACCCTATTAATCACTTTCCATTGCTTTATCATTTTGTAATTCCTTCATCGACACTGTAGTTTAATAAAATTTGACCTGCTGTTTAAATCTTTAAAAAAATCAGGCTTCTCTCTATCCCTTTATTTTCCTTACAGTTTACTTACCGAAGACTACGTGCCTTTGACCGTCAGCATTTTGCTTCTTGTCTGGATTTTATGGTTGTGTATTCATGTAACATTTTCTATATTTGTAAATTGGAAACTGGACTCAAAGGTCTGGTAAGCTTTAGCTTTCATCCCTTTGGTTAGACCAAGGTAGTATGCTGTTCTTCTATTCAGAGATATGGTTGTATTTCCTTTTTGTGTGATATCATTCTTTGATGTTCAGTTCTTACATCCGTAATTCATTGAGGGTTGGAAAATGGTGGCATTTTATCTCTGTTATTGCCTTAAAAACTTTTAGTAGAATGCTTTATATGATATTTCTTTTCTTCTATTGTTTGGTGGTCTTGTAGCATAGTTCATAAAGGAAAGAAGGGAAAATTGCTTCTCATTTTCATCTGTTTCTACTCTAAAAATTCATTATAAATTCAAGAAATGCAATATATTTTCTAGGCTTTGAATGCTTTAATACTTACTAATGCTAAAGCTCAAACTATTCCATCTTGGGACAATGGGGGCTCCTTCAGTGACCTCTGAGTCCTAACACACTCCAACAGAGCTGGAAGGCTTCTTTGCCTTCTTGAAGAACAAGATGCTCTAGGCTTGTGTTATTAATCAGGTATCTCCAGAAGAACAGAAAGAACAGTGTATATGGTTGTGAGGGGATTTACTAGACTGACTTACAGTAAGACAGACTGAATAGTCCCACAGTAGCAGCCAAGGGTGAAGAGCCAGGGGGACCAGCAGCTGCTCAGTGAAAGACCTGCTTAGGACAATATGAACCAATGGAACAGCTCCTGTCAGAGGTTATATACCTGGAAACTCCCTGAAAAGTTGCAATGTAAATCCATGCTCAAAGGCTGGAGCATCTGGAGTCTGATGTTCACAGCAAGAGCAGCAGCGACAAATGCTACTTGGGAAGAATACAGCGTGTGGCTCTGTTTGCTTTTGTTCAATGTGGGTCAGAGCATGTCTACTGTGTGGTGCTGCCCACATTTAGAGCAGGTCCTCTCCACTGTTTGCCAACCCACAGGCCCGTTGCCTCTGGAAACATTCTCACAGACACACCTAGAACTGTGCTTTGCTGATTTTCTAGGTGTCTCTCAGTCCAGTCAAGTGGACAACCAAGCTCAGCCTCACAAGGCTCATCATTTGCAGTTTCTGACACGGCCCTTGTTAGGAACCCTGACTCTGGGACTAGATCTGCTGGTTTAATTAACACTTTTCAACTGTGAGACATTGGGAAACCACTGTTCTACTCCGAGCCCCAGTTTCCTACTCTTTGTAAAGATAACATTGATAGTAACTGCCTTGAAAAGTTGTCATAAGGATTTCTATTATATGCAGTGTTACTAAGTGGTCAATACTGATGACCCAGCAAGCTATGATGTATCTGTGATATGTGTATCATATCATGTGGACAAACAGATATGTCAATGGTATCAACCTCATTATTAATTGCTTTCTGAATTCATAGGTGCAGTGTTCAGTAATGGTTTGGAATATTTTGATGTTGGCCACTGTTTTCATTAATATTGGGAAAAGGTTTTTGCCTCGACAGAATGATGAAAATATTATACAGAGTAGGAGAAGCAGAATAGACACGGAATTGTCGAACATCTGGCTACGGATCCTGGACCCAGTCATGCTAAATTCTGAAACTTTGAACAAGTCAGCTGGATGGATCCAGGTGAGGGGCTATCACCTCACACAGACATTTCACCTGATGTCTTAGTCCTTCCATATTTACCTTGAAGAAGGAAGCAAGCTTTGAATTGCGGTGATAAACAGAAGAACTATAAACGCACAGACCAAGTTTGACTTGAACACTTCATCCCTCATTTGAGAATACTGTAAGCGAGAAAAAAAAAAAAAAAGGAGAACGAATTACTTTGCAGCAGAGTTAAGTTTTTGTTGGTGATACTTTCATCAGTGTTTGAGGTTAAAGGAAACATCAAGACAACAATTATATGCAATTATATATTTTAAAAAAACAAGGGGAATCTAAGGGGAATCTGTATCTTCTAAACTTCCACATAGAAATATCTTCATCCCTCCCACCAACCCTCCTGCAAAAGCCTGGTAATTAATACACTCCCTTCCCTAATAAAAGGCCTATGTGGATACATGTGGTTCTCTAGCCCCTCCCACTATGAGCTTCCATCATATAACAGAGCAGAAGAGCGCATTGCCCTGAACGGCAGAACAAACTCACACAAACTTCCTTCATGAGTAAAAGTAAGGGCACTGTTCTGTTTCTTGTCAGGTTTGGGGACACGAAGAAAGGTTTTCCCAGGGAGTCTTTCTGCCTCCTTTTTAATAACTGTTGAAAATAAACTCACAGAGTCTTAACATTCAAAGCAGCCCACAAGATCTGCAGATGGGTAGCCACTTGTCTCACAGAAGAGATATCAAGATTAATAGGCCAATATGCTAGAGGCCTTCTGTTGTCTAGGCTGTCCTGAGGGATGGTGGTAACTTTATTTTGATTATCCAGAGTACTCAGTAATTTCATTGTCTACCTTTAAAAGCTTCTCAAAGGTAAGCAATGTGTGTTTGCTTCATTTCTGCCCCCAGCTCCGGACCATCCTGGAGTCACTAAGCCAAGGAATAATATTTATTTTTTCAGAAAGAAGGACAGAGGTTTTAAAAACTTTAGGATGTTAGAATCAGCTTTAGCTAAGTCCCTCATGTGGTCTTAATGCCAGAGAGGTCTAGTAACTTGCTGTAGATCACACAGACTGCAGATCTGTCTTACTGGGGGATGAGGGCTGTGACACAAAGCTAAGCTTGGCACTGCAACTCTGTAATCCTTGATTTGAGTTTCAGAGTCACTTTACAAAGGAAGCTGATCAACATCCCACTCACAAATTCTAGGCTTTATGTCCACAATAGCAAGATAAGGTTACATTAATGGACTGACAGTTAGTCTGGCTTGTTCAAATGGTGTTTGAAATAATAGTTACAGGACTTTTAATTTAATTAACTTAGTGTTATTTTTAGGTATGAGTGTTTTGCCTGCAAAACCCAGAAGAGGGCATTGGATCCCCTAGATCTGGAGCTAACGAATGATTGTTAGCCACCATGTAGGTTCTGGGAATGGAATGCAGATCATCTGCAAGAGAGGTCAGTACTCTTGACTGCTGAGTCATCTCTCCAGCCCCATTTATAGAATTTTTTAAACTGTTGCTGACTTTTGGGTGTGGTCCAGGTTTTAGGCTGTAACTTACTGCTCAGAATCAAGGCTAAGTATTGGTGAAAAGCCTGAGAAGGACGGAGTACTGCTCAGAAACTGTGCATTTACTGCTCAATCCCAAGTATTGAGGCTTCTGATCACCTGCTAGCAATCTGTTTGGTATCTGGAGGGGTCCAGGAATACAGTCCTAAAGAATCCCTATAAGTCTTCCTCACTCCTAATAAAACTTCAGAAAAATCCATGTAATCGGTGGTTACCAACAGTACTGACTAAGGCCAGGATAATCGTAGAGACTCATGCAGGCCAAATGAGGCATTTACAAAACACCCAATTCAAAGGTAGGTAAATATCTGAATTCCTTATGACAACTGGTCACACACAATTTAACTTTTTACTGGCTGACTGATTAGGTTCAAACCAATTTGATTATGTAGTTTTGGAGGTGGAAATACCAACCATAATGCTTAGTATACTTAATTCTCCTTCTCCTTCTCCCCCCGCCCCCTGGCGTCCTCCTTCTTCTTCATCCAAGTAACTTGAAGTTGTGATAAGGCATCATCTTCATGTGATAAGATAACGTCTCTAATAATGCGTACTCAAATGTCTGCTGGTTGACATTATATGATCACCTCCAGTTCGTCAGAGAAGTGCGTTTCCCTTCTCCATGCTGCAGTAGGGCATCCTGCATGACAACACCCTCTGCTTTTAGCACTTCCAGCACCCAGGTGTGAGGACTCAGTCTTACACAGGACTCCTCCCTGTTACTGACCATTTCTTACTGATAAAATATCTTTTTCCATTAGATCCCAGGCATTAGTCCCTGTGACTCTTTTCTTCACTATTTCTTACTAACGATTTCTAAAATATCTCACAATCATCTGTCTCAACTAAAGTTGTGTAAAGTTTTGTGGCTTTCATTTTATTCAAATAACAAACTGGGAGAAACAGGTAGGAAGACTTACTTGGCCTCCAGCTCTGTCAGAATTTCTGTTTGAACAAAGCTAATTTCTTTGAACCTTACTTCTGTTTTCTGCCAAAAGGGGACATGTGGGTTTTGTCATGATAAAACATTCTATGATTTTTGGGTTTGAATTTCAGTGCCTTGCACAGCCACACAAAAGAAGAATTTCATAATATTTGTGAAGTTGCTGTCAATTAAACATAAAATACTGGGTTTTAGAATGGAATGTATTGTTACTTTGAATTACAAGGAGAAAAGGCCTATGAAAAGAAAATTCCTAATTGGCTCAGGATGACAGGGTATTGAGACTGAGTGGTGATTCATTCAAGTTACTTTTGACTTGTTAAGGTCTGAATATTTGGGTTCATGGCTACATTAAGTTGGTTATAGATTTCTGCTTTCCAAAATTAGACATTTTTTTGTCTCACCTCTGTTGGGTCCCTACCTGACCCTACTTATAATTTTATATTTAATTGTGAGCATGGATTAATTTAGAATTAGATGACCTGGATTTGAATCCCAGCTTCAAAACTTTCTAGCAGAATCTGAGACTAGATAGGTCATAGTTCATAGGGGAGAGCCTAATACCAGTTTTCTGCTAAATAGTTATGATATTAAACTGACTCCTAATGACTTGTTGTTATACCTATAGATTAATGTATCTCTCAGCTATCACCAGAGAAGTTTTCTTATGCAACAGATGGTGGTTAACACAGAAACCCACAACTGGTCAGTATGCAGAGACTGTAAGACTGTAGACTGTAGAGTGCTTATCCCTTAATAGGACATCTCCATCAAACTTTTGTCTCCCAAGGCTCAGGGATTATTGTAGAAGAGGGGGTAGAAAGGTAATAAGAGCTGGAGGTGGGGGATGACCACAAGGAAGCAGGCCCACACAACTGGTCAGTTACTCATATGAACCTACAATAATGGTTACAGTATGCACAAGTCACATGTAAGCTCAAATCAGACAAAATCCCAGCATAAACGTGGGGAAGTGGGTAAGAAACCCCAACCTACCTAAAGGACTTTTGGCAACAATGGTTGCTGGGAGGGGAAGAGACAGTCCCTTTCAAGGATAGGACTCTTGGTAGGTTAACCAGGCTCTGTGGATGGACTATAGTGAAGGACATTTGAGGACACAGATTAGCCTCTATAGGCCTTAATATATATGTACACACATTATATATACATATATAACAGAGTACATTATGTTGGGCAGGGGGCAGAAAGAGAAGGTGTGGATAGTGGCTCTAAATACCATCACCTTGTAGTGTATGAAAATCAAAGTCATTCAATTAAAAAAAGGAAAAGAAAAGCCCAACCAACTGTGGAACTTTGGACAAATCTACCAGGCTTTCTATATGTCAGTTGTCTCACCTAGAAAATGAGTGTAATAATAATAGCTACCTCACAAGGGTTGTTAAAAGGCTAAAATGAGTTCATATCTGCAAAAATGCTTCAAGCTGTGCCTGGCACTTGAGGGTTTTCCCACAGTTCTCAGTTGTACTTACTTCCTTGCTATACATTCACCTTCATGAAGTCTATCTTTCCTCTCATGGTGTTGTCTTCTGTTACTTTCTGTTCCCTCGAGCACAACTGTATCTTGCACTCAGTGGAAATCCCAACAGTGTTGCTGACTGACTTGTAGACAGTGCTAGAAGGAATTCTTCAAAAGAGATTATGATTCCAGTGAATTCGTGTGTGGTCTCTTGGCTTGGGGAAATTCCGTGCCCTTCCTTTCCTTGCATTCTATAAGGTCTCCCATGTTGATCCAGTTTTTCTGCTTTTCTAAGTCCTTGATAATGGCCATTGGACTCTTTAAGAGTGCTTGGTTTAGAAGAAAACTTGGCATTTTTTGTTGTTGTTCCAGATGAGGAACTTCAGGATCAAAGATGAAAGTTTGTCATGGTCAACTTGTTAGTGGCAAAATTCAGACAATGAGCTAATTCTATTTACTTATTTATTTTTATTTTACATTGTGTTTTTCCTGCATGAATAGAAGTGGAGCTGTGTGGAGTGTCTGGTGAGAAGAAGGCATCAGATCTCGTGAAGTGGAGTTACAGAAAGTTGTTAGCAGCCCTGTCAGTGCTGGGAATTGAACCTAGGTTCTCTGGAAGAGCAGTAAGTGTTTTTGACCACTGAAGCATCTCTCCAGTCCTGAGCTACATCTTTTGACTGAACTCAAGTTCATTCTATTGGACCACTGTCTATTGGCAGTAAATACCTGAGACAGTACCCAAGACACCTACCTGTAAATGGAACTTATTAACTAAGAGCAAGCTACATGAAATAACAATATTTCTTTTGGGAGTTTAATTTAGAATTTTGAATATTATTATTTTTCTATTTGTAAGATGTTGGTTGATACAGTAAAGGTTTGTAACAAATCTGAATAATAATGAGTAATGCCTAACATGAAGAAGGTTTTTATCCATCTTTGGATAAAACTAGTTTGAAGAAAGGGGATTTTCTAGCACATCTTTTATTAGTCTAAATTAAAATGTTTGTTACTATGTTAAAGAAAAGTCTTAGTTGAGACAAACTGCTCATTCTACACATGGAAATGAAGTGTTTTGACTTCTGCTGTTAAATTCGTGCATCAATGTTCCATGGATGTGACCTAGAGCATCCTTATATTAGACTGCAAAAATGAGTCTAATTTTCAATAATTTTTAAGTTTTGAAAGAAATC